GTGCACAAATTTTTCACTTGTATATTTAGAAGAATTGATACACTGGAGTAAATCCATCAGAAAAAAAGAAAACTTTTAATATTTTATTCTATTAACTGATTTCTTTGCTGTGTTTATTGCTAAGCCTAGTTTTGATGGGTAATAGTAAAGTCGAGATTATTAGGCTTAGAGACTAATATATATATGCTTACATTCATTTTTATAAAGTTTTGAGACGCCCAATGTTCAGAATAGTTATTATTTTTGCGCATAAGATGCAAAAGTTTGGATGCATTAACAAATCACATAACTACTACAATACAAAAAAGGATAAGGCCTAGGATTTGTATACCTCCCCTCCTTTGTTCGTAAAGCCTCTTACTCTAACACCAATTTATAAAAGGTTCTTATTCATAGCAAACAATACACACACACGCACACACACACACACACACACATATATATACGAAACTATAAAAACAAAAATAGACACATAGAAACCTGAAGCAAATAAAAAATTATATACTGCTGATTATAGGAACAATTGATAAGAAAAATACTAAATTAAGTTTGTTTGTTTTTCTGATGAATATGCAACCTAATAAGATCAGTTAAGTAATTTCTATTACAATCAGGACTTTCTGTCATTATAATAACACTTATATTGTCCTAAAACTTAAGCAATTTCATTATGTACACTTGGTTTTAAATCTATACAAGTTGGTAGGTGAACTATATTTGGCTAATTCGTTATATTTAACATTTGTGGCAGTCTTTTGCGAATAACTATGTTTATTCCAGACATATTCACAAAGTTACACAAGGTTAACTATGCTAGCTGTCCCTAATTTTGAAATGATATATTCACCGACAACTCTTGGGCTTTTCTAATAATTTAATCATCAGTTTTTTAATACAAGAGCATGATTTTGCCGTAACAGGACGCGAACTTTGGATTTCCACTACAATCCTCTAACTACGTCATGATTGCAAATAATTAAGTTTACAGCAAGAAAATGTAAGTATGCTTTGTTATTAAGAAATGAACCTCTTAAACCGTTTTTTTTTCGGTGTAAGCACAAAATTATATAAAGGGTTTTACACTGTATTCTGTATTGATAAAAAGCATAACACAGAAAGCACATTTTGCTTCCTATTAGCAGAAAACGTATGATCACGTTTAGA